AGCAGCCTATGAAAGGGGGGTGTTCTCGTCTTGCCAGCGGGAATAGGCAGTTCCCATCGCTGCCTCGTCTCCTTCTCCAAGTCATCGACCAATAACTCTTCCTTTCTTCTGCACCGCTTTGCCAGGAAAAAAAAATACTTTTATGTCAGTCGTGCAATATTAAGTGCTGTTATTTCCAAGGGCAAGTGTAGTGGAAAGATGACAAAGGAATCAGAGTATTTGCAGCATATTCCTGCTTCCAGCTTGACACGCAGCGGAACACCGCCCTTATTTTATGTGCTTTGTGCAACTGTGTCTACGGCTTTGCCTCATGTCTGCCGCGCTGTTGCTCTCCTTCCCATCCCCATGGAACTGCCAGGCACTGCTCGCCCGTCCGGGGTTCACCTCGGGGCAGAGCTGACCCCAGTGGCTGGCCGTGGGATGTTGGCTCCTAACGAAGCTGCAGGTGCCCAAATGAGAGAACGCCTTAACAAGCTGCGCGCTGCGATGCCGAGTATCGCAGGAGGTTGCTTCAGGGATACCGGTTGGCTTCCACGCAGGGGTAAGAGAGGAGACGGATCTTACTGGTGGTGGTCAATGCCCAAAAGGTCATGCGTTTGAATATTTTCGTTCTTAAAGTGAATTAATATCTTAATTTGTCCCCTGAAGTATCAGAAAGCTCCCTTCCCGTTTCTGCTACTGGAAAAAAGCATCCAAATATGGGTGCCTGATAAAATCCCTGCTAGGCAATAGCTGGCTGTGCTGCCGGGATGTGCCAAGCATCCCTCGTGTGCACTGGTGCTGTCCTTCCCCCTCGGCGGGGACAGAGACGGAGCTGGATGACCGATTCGATGAAGAATCCCCAAAAAGGGCAGAAGGATGCAATGTGCTCCGGGCGACGGCTGGCTGCATCAGGGGCGCGGGGGCTCCACGTGCCGCGCTGCCTGCTGGAGCGAGGGTGTTCCAAGCCCCCTCGCTTGCCCGCGGTCAGGCGGGGGGGCGGCTGGCAGACCCCTTCCGGGCAGCTCCCCTGATCTGCGCGAGGTCGGGACCAGCCCCCTCCTGATGCTCTTCAGCGGCCGCCGCCGTGGGCCGGCTCCTGCGCTG